GTACGCTAGTCTAATAGAAAAAACTTAACATCAAGGTATTCATCGCATAGTGTAGATCAGTGGTTCCCAACCGGTGGTCCATGGACCCCTGGGGGTCCATAAGAACTTTTTAAGCGGACCACAAGATAAACGTAAATTCTAAATATTTTTTGGTAGTGAAACTTAATTTTGATTATTTTTTTCTGTTGAAAGAAACAAATTAAATTTTAAATTAAAAATGTAATTTATGCAAGAAAGCTGTTACACAAAATTTGCGTTAACTAATTCGACGAGGACTTGCGGACCTCTACGAAGTAATAAATGCTATATAATATCATTTTTTATCCGTAAATTTAAAATGTTAAAATCTTATCTCATGGTAAAGATAACCTTACTGATTTGTTTGAAAGAACGTAATTTGTGTTATTTTCTATAAAAATTCGATACTATACTACTCTTATCTATAGATGCTTTTTATATTATTTTTTAAATACTTTAGATGTCTAAAAGTAAAAAAGGTCATACTTAGATGAATACATGAGATATGGATTTACCTACATGCTTAAAGAAACCATTAGCTACCCACAGTGTGTTATTTTTTATAAAGTACTAGGAAATGACTCTATGAAACCTTCAAAGCTTGCTATTCACTTGAATAAGTGCCATCCTGATCTCCAAACAAAAGATACTGATTTTTTCAAAAGAAAATTTGAATCACTGAAGAGATGCAAATTGGATAAAACTGGGATTATTTACCAAACTCAACAGAATATAGTAGAAGCATCCTATAAGGTTTCATATATAATAGCACAGAACAAAAAAGCTCACACATTGGCTGAAGAAGTTATACTTCCATGTACAAAAGAAATCGTTAGATTATTATTTAGAGAAGAAGCTGCAAAGAAGGTAGATAATATATCTTTATCAAATACTACAGTCAAACGAAGGCTAACGGATATTTCATCAAACATTAAAGAAAATGTTATTAATGAAATTAAAGAATCCCCATATTTTTTTATTCAGTTGGATGAGTCCACAGATGTAAGTTCAATGGCACAACTAATTGTATATTGTAGGTATATTCACAATAACAAATTTAAAGAAGAATTTTTGTTTTCTTCTTGCCTTGAAACAACAACAAAAGCAGCTAATATTATGGAAATTTTAAAACAGTTTTTCAATGACAATCAATTACAATGGAAATATTTGTTTGGAATTACTACTGATGGAGCTCCTGCCATGATGGGTTGTAAGTCTGGATTATAGACTAGGGTGAAAGAGATTGCTCCAAATGTAGTTGGTGTACATTGTTTTATTCATAGACAGGCTTTGGCAACCAAAACTTTACCAGGTAGTTTGAAAACTGTATTTAATCAATTAGTCAAGTTGGTCAATTATATAAAATCTTTTGCTCTTAACACTCGCCTTTTCACAAAATTTTGCTCTGACCTAAATGCTGAACACAATAAGTTATTGTTTTATACTTCTGTGCGATGGCTATCTGCTGGATATTTTTTGGAAAGATTTTTCATGCTTAGAAATGAAGTGAAAGAATTTTTATGTCAAATGAAAAGTGGACTGGTAGAATATTTTGAATTTGATAATTTTGAAATAACAACTGCTTATCTTGTGGACATCGTAGGTCATTTTAACAAGTTAAATTTGCAACTTCAAGGCAAAAATGCTAATGTTATTACACATTCAGATAAACTGAAGGCATTTATTGAAAAGCTCAAACTGTACAAGACTAGAATTAATAATGGAAACTTGATCATGTTTCAAAATTTAAATAACATAATTGGAGTTAACATGCTTCCTGAAGTTATAAAGACAGAAATAGTTTGTCACCTAGATAATTTGATTACTGAATTTGGTAACTATTTTCCAGATATGAATCTTTTGAGCAGTGAAGTTATTATATCACCATTTTCTTGTGATGTGAAAAATGTGAAAGAGGAAGCACAAGAAGAGTTTATAGAGTTAAAGAATGATACCACGGCTAAGGATCACTTCAAAGTAGCACCATTAAATAACTTCTGGTTGAAAATGAGGAATTCATATCCATTGTGTTCATCAATTGCACTTAAAGCCCTTATTCCTTTTTCAACATCATATTTGTGTGAAGCCGGGTTTTCAGCAATGCTATCTCTTAAAACAAAAAAAAGAAATAGACTTGATATTGATGCAGATATTAGATGTGCTCTATCAAAAACTAAACCAAATTTTCAGATATTAATTGCTAGTAAGCAGTGTCAGAATTCACACTGATCTGTTCTTGTATCATACATAAACTAAGATAAAAAAATTTTGTGTCATTGATAAATATTGACTTTGTGTCTAGTCTATTCAAAAATACCTTAAATAAAATATTATCCTTATGAATAAAAGTTACATTATTAAAATGTTCACCTTGTAATAATTTTTAAAATCAAAGGGGTCCATGAAGATTTTAGGATATTTAATTTGGGGAACGGGTTAGAAAAGGTTGGGAACCACTGGTGTAGATCAAAGCGGAAAATCCCCACTTTTCGGTAAAATAGGAAATGTATAACAATCAGTATTAAAAAAATGAATGACGTCAACAGTTTTTTTTTCTACGATGCAAACGTTTTTAAATATATTTAGAAACGTTAATATATTTTATATAATAAATACATTTTTATAAAATATATACATTTTTGAAAACTGATAGAGTTAAATTGCTATGAACACTATTAATTAATAGTATTTATAACAATGCAGCATTCAAAAATTAAATTGTTTTAATTGGATTTGATAAAATCTAAAGCAAGTAGAATAAAATGCTATTTGCTTTAGCAATAAATGGAAAAATATTATAATCGTATTTTAGATCGTTTTAACGTGACACCAACACTACACGCGAGCGTTTTTAAATTAAAAAAATATTCTTTTGATTAGTTCTATAGTTTGTAGAGTCATGTTTAACACCATTTAACACCATTTAACACCACTTTAGAACAATTAAAAACTGAAACAATGTTTAAATCTTTCCGCGTTTTTGATCTCCTAATTCTAGGGCTTAAAAATGCTTTCAAAAAATATATATTTGTTCAAGTTTTCAGAGCAGCTAATTAATATACTGCTTCGTTTAAAAATGTTTTATTTCGATAATAAATTGCATTATTGTAAATTCTTACTTTTTGATTATTGTTGCACTAGATCTGATGACGTTTCTTTGATGCTGAGGCTTTTTCACCTCTGTTTTTGGTATAAAGTACCTTTAAAAACACTTCAAGTAAACATAAACATGTACTCAATATTGCAGAATTAATTATATTGTTGCTATTATCAAAACAAAGACATAATAGCAAAAATGATGCCATCATTAAACCAAAAAACATATCGGTAAACCAAGCGCGGATCCATAGAAATGACAGACAAGAGATCCATAGAGAAAGCAGACAGAGAGATGGAGACAACCGCACCCCTTAAGATATTTTGGAAAAAATTTTTTTATATATTTTTATATTCAACAAGCGTGTTAATTAAAAAAGTAAATTAGGGAGACTGTTTAAAAGCGATAAGATGTTTTAGTAAAATTGCGTGGGGCACAACAAAAAAAAGTCGGACTAATATGCTAAAAAAACTAACTAGAAAAGTTGTATGATTAGTGGGCTTGCCTACTCACAAATCATTAAACCATTAAACAAGATAGTCTGAATTTTTACATAAACACTAGAGCAGGTAAAAACCAAAAGCCTTATTCATCAATGTTTACTGATGTCATTTACATACTGCACAAAAAATCTAATAATAAAAAGTACAGTAAAATTTTAATAAAGCATCTTTTAATTTTATTACTTTTTACTTTTTTGTTAATTTGTTTTTCCTTTTTTTCGCTCAGTAATTTCCTATTAATTTAAATATAACATGATTTAAAAAAATTTCCAGATATGTAAGAGTGAATGTGCCTGTGGGCGAGCAGAGTAGGGATTATATTTTTAAAATAATAGAAAATCCGTTATAATCAAGTAACTGTTTTTTTTTATAATCAAGAACTGTTTTTTTTTTGTTGTTGTTGTTTTTTAATTACATTTTAAAGTTTGAGTCGAGTTTTACTTTACTATCACTATTACATTTTACTATTATTTAAAAAAATTAACTTCAAAATTGTGGTCCTCGGAATGTTAATGAGATATCAAAAAAATTTTAACAATTTTGGTAACTGGTATTTTTCTTATTTAATGTTTATAAAGCTTTTTCATTTTTAATTCCCAATGGTACTCATAATACTCTGAACACTTCTTGTAGTTTTAAGCCTACGTTACCGCAAACAACTCGCAAATTAAGTTTTACCTGCTTCACTAAAAATTACTAATAACTATAAACGTTTCAAACCAGTGTCCTGCGCAGAGCACTGCGTAGGGCGGCAATTCTAAAAATGCATAACTAGAACAAAGTAAGATTCAAACATCTGTCTCATTATAAAACCAAATAGCCAAAGTAGTGTTACAAGTTTGAAAACAAAAATATAAAAAATAAAATTTGTGATTTTTTTAAAAAAGAATTTGGTGAGTTACTGAGATCTTGAATTTATTTGATAGTATTTGAAGTTTTTTTCAAAGCATACTTTATTGAGTATTCATTGACTTATTTCAAATAAAAATAGTTAATGAAAAAAAAAAAAATTCACCGTATTTATTCGCTATGTTTTTATTGGCTGTGTTTTGGATCGGCTATTTTTACCCTCATCGGTCATTTTAATTAAATAATCTCATTTAGAAAAAAAAAAACCGTTTTTTTTTCTCTCATTTGTTAAAAAATATGTTTTTGCTACGTCATATTATTTGTTAAGTCTTTTTTTTTTTTAATTCACACAAAGCTATAAATCTTTTTCCTTGAAAAATGTTTGATGTAATAATTTATTGTAAAATAATAGTTTTTCAAAAGTAAGTTCGAATAATATTTAATACTTTCACATATAATTAATCAGTGCAAAAACGATTAAAGATACATATTATACTTGAAAGAATCATTATTTCTACAACTGATAATCTTACCGATAGAACATTTGTCACACAGAACAATTTCGTCCTCAGAATCAGGGTTGTCTTTTTTGCAAACGATACAAATAATTTCCGAGGTAGTTTCGTTAACTAAAAATAAACGATAAATAATAAACCATTTGGATTAAGAAAAGTATTTCAAGTTATTAAATATAAATTAATATCTGTTCTTATCTCTACACTATGGTAAATCTTTATAAAGAGATGTATATCTATATATAAAGCAGCTATAGGGAGATGGCAGACTTAAGGGAGATGGCAGACTTAAGCTAATTTGAGAGCATTAAAATTGAAGTGAAATATTAAAAAAAGAAAAAAAAAAAAATTAATGTTTGTTTTTTTCTTCTTGATTTTAGATTTCCGCGCAAAATTACAATGAACAGAACCTTAACATTTCCAATTCTTCTAATTTCTTCTTTATAAAAAGGAAAGTTTGTGGTTTTATTTTAATGCTTGAAGTTGCTGCTCCGAAATTTTTAAAGGTTTCTGTTTTTTAAAGAGGGTTTTAGCGATGCTTAGCTTTTGAGTGTTGACAACCCAGGAAACCAAGAGATTTGGGGGTCCTGGGTAGTCAACACTCAAAAGCCAAATTCAATCAAAAAACCTCCTGAGCTGTTTTACTTTTTAAACGTAAATTTGTTTAGAAAGTCAATTGTATATCATTGAATTAAAAATTCATTGTATAATTTTTTAGATATTACATTGATTTTTTGGTGTATTTAAGCGCAAAAAGTGTGAACAGAAAATAATACCCTTTACCAAAGTCTTAGACAATACCGGGTAACCTGCTAATATTATTATAAAGTTGTTATTAGTGATTATAATTATAATGTATATATTATTGTCAGTAATATTATTAAGCTATAATATTTTGTAGAATTTTAAGATCTGATAAAAAATGTGTAATTACAACGAATGTTTGACTTTATTTCTTATTTTTTTTTCTTTGATTAGCTTTTGTATTTTTGCTGTGTTCAACAATTAAAATGCAAAGATTCGAATAACGCTTTTTTTTTTGAAATAGTGACAAAATATATCGTTAGAAAGATTTTTAATGAGACTTTTTAAAAAAAAAAAATGAATGTTCTAACCAAATCCTCAGTCTATATTACTGCGTCTATTCTTCAAAAATCAGCCGATGTATATAATTAAACACATTTCTTGTTATAACCAAGGTTTAAAAAAACACAGCGGTGAGTCGTAGGCTTTACCAAACCTTGACTATAGTCAAGTTTTAAAAACTTTTGCAAAAAGTGACGCCTCACCGCTTTGTTTTTTTAAACCTTGGTAATAATTCAGGCCTCAAAATATTACAAAACATTCAAACAACACTTTAAATAATTGAAAAGTTTAACTTTATTTAAATTTTAGAAAAACCTGTGTAACATTTTAAAATTTGTTAGCACGCACCACTAAAAATATTTTTAAAATATTGGTTCTCTTTAGATCCATCATCAAAGAGTAGCATTGCTGTTTTTTTAGAATAGTTAATTGAAACTATTTTTGCGTAGTAAATATCATTTCCAAATTTTGTTAATACAACATCATTTGTTTTAAAACCAAACTCTTTGCTCGGGCTTTCATATATGCTTCCGTGTAAGTCTTTGCTAGGACTTCCATGCATACTTTGTACCTAACGACAAATAATAACACAAATTTTACAAATTATATATATATATATATATATATATATATATATATATATATATATATATATATATATATATATATATATATATATATATATATATATATATATATATATATATATATATATATATATATACATACATACATATATGTATAATTATTATTATTATTATCCATTATTATTAAGTATAAGTATAAACTATAAATAAGTTATTATTCTCTACTTTTTATATTTCGTTTATTGTCTATACTCAAACGAGTACAGATTTACAGTTTGTAATATGTTTAACAAAGTAGTTTGTAACGTATATAAATGTTTTTAAAAATCAATGCAAAACTCCGAAAAAAACAAATGTAATAAATGTTGACGTAGATAGTTTCATGAAAATATATTTATATTAACCTTTTATATCATCTATTTCAAAATGTCGGTTATTGTCTTATTTTTGGTTCGTAATCAGAAACTTAGACAGAGAAAAGATTTTTATTAAATAACTATAATATAAAGCGTCTCACTCCCTCGATGTCGAAATAAAAAAATGTTTTTATTGTTAGTATAAAAACAGTTGTTTTGAACGTTTAAAGTAAGTCAACTAAACAACTTGGTATAGATAAAGCAGCGCAGCAAAACCTAATATAAGGTTTGCCTAGACATTTCTCAAATTAAAGCAAGAAATATTTTTGAAATTTATTTTTCAAATTACTAACGCGTAAAGTACTAACATAATGATATAATGATATATGATATATATTATAGTAACATGATATATATATATATATATATATATATATATATATATATATATATATATATATATATATATATATATATATATATATATATATAAAATAGGTTAACAACAAAAATAAAAGATATTCTGTCTTAAAGAAGTATAAGAATGAACATTGTTTGATATAATAAACATTATGCTTAAAATCTTTGCAGTTTACAAACAGAATTTAGCATTACATCACAAATATTGATTTGTGATTTTTATTATGTTTAAATAAATGTATAAAAAACGTATTTAAATGTATCTTTAAACGTATAAAAATTCTTATGAATATTAAAATAGATTCAAATATTATTATACCTTTCCAGCCAGTTTTTAGGAACCTTTTAATGATAAAAGCAAGGACTTAAAACTATCGGGTTAAAAAAATTGATTGTTGCACGTGCTCGAATTGCGACTTTAAAAACTTATATAAAGTAAGTGAGTATGACTCAACATAAAAAACAATTAGATGAAAGAATCGGCGCTTTATTTTAAAATTCCCGCAATTTTACAATATAAACGACATTGATACACCAGTTTTCAAAAAGTTCACACACTTACGCATTTGCTTAGAGTTGAAAGCATTGAAGCGTTTTGTCAGCCGACTTTTCAGACGGTTAGCCGAGACGCATCAGCGAGGGCGCGGGTATTTCAAAACAGAATGTACTCAAAAGGACAAATATTTAACCTGCTTTTTTTTCTCACTTTCTTCAAAACTCTGCTTTCAGGATGATTACAAATTTGAGTATAAATATGCCCTTGCGCTTCTATATTTTTCTAAGAGTTATCACGTAAAGCTTAAAGTCACAAACTAAAAGGTAAACTACCGAAACTAGCGCGGAAAGAATTAAACATTTAACAGGTAATAAATGACGTATAATCAACAGTATGTAATTTTAGTTAGCAAAATATAATTTCAAAAATAACATTAATTAAAACAAAAAACTTGAAAAAACACTTACATTTTTATTTTTTAAAACCGTAATGTTCTAATTTAAAACCCTTCATATTTTATCTTGTTTATGTAACGGTTTTTATGTTTACACAGCTTTTCAAAGTAATGTTTAACACACAAATTAAAATTGAATTTGCATTTTAGATGTTAAATCTTTTTACCTTAAATTCTTTCTAAATTTCAAATTTTTAAAGTCAAAAAATTAAATAAAGGTTAGACGTTAAAAAATAGTAATAATATTTATGATAAAATTGACAGCTTCAAAACAGACGAATGATTAACAACTTTTAATATAGATTCAGGTGTGTTTAGGCTTTTTTCGCAAAACTTAAATAAATAAAAAAGGCTAGGAACGGTAAAAATAAAAAAAGGACTACGAACGTTAAAAAAAGTACTTGAAACTTTATTAGGTTAATAGGTTGATTTAGCAAACTGTTGTACGTATCAAGAAATCCTTAATTTTTGATTCAACCAGTTTCGATTTTTCTTAAGATCAATTAAAAATATACGGAATCTAAACATTTTTGATTTCATTTTTTAAAGTGGCGTCAACTATTAAGTTGAACGCACTTACTACGCTATTCTCACTTTACGCACATTAATGTTACGACAGTGAGTTATTGATTGCAAGTTAATTATTTATTACAAATTATTGATCCTGAACTAAACTAATATATATGCTAATGCGTGGTTGGTACCTACACACTTTGAGACGCACACACGCGCATTTAAAAAGCTGACTTAGTATAATTAGTTCTTATTATTCGTGCTAGAAATTTTCAGTTTTAATTACATTGTTTAATAAGTTTATATACCTATAGAAGCATGTTGTTACATAATTATGTTATAAACATTTTTTTATACTATATATATATATATATATATATATATATATATATATATATATATATATATATATATATATATATATATATATATATATATATATATATATAATCTGTGTGTGTGTGTGTAAGCTTGCCAAGTATACTAAACCAGGCCTGCCATAAATATATATATATATATATATATATATATATATATATATATATATATATATATATATATATATATATATATATATATATATATAAATTATAAAAGTAAAAAAAATATATAAACTTCAATAAATTAATAAATCTTTATGTCTTTTGTGACTTTTTTGTCCGCCCCCCTGTGTTATAAGTTATCGACGTCAACATCGTCAAGACATTTGAATGTGGCGTTTTAATCCACTTCAAATAATAATAAAATTAATATGTAATTTGATTAAAACACACATTTTCTCTTCCTAAATTCTTTCAATGACTTTATGAAATTTTAATAGAATACTAGAATGTTTTATTTCGCTTCATCTTATAGAAAGTAAAGCGTTTCTGAAGTATATAACTTCTATAGATGTTAGTAGATCGAATTCAAAATAGAGTGTTAATGCAGAAATCAATAACCGTATTTATTTGTGTCAGAAAGGTGCTTCCCTATTTAAACAGTTGCAAGAATTTTGATTTTAGGTACGGATAAAAAAGAAGTATGAAACGCGTGATTTTGTTATCAAATATATATTTAAATTTTTTTATTGTAAATTACAAATGAACTTAGTTTTAATTTTTTTAAATTTAAGATTTAAATATTGTTAATATTTATGAAAAGTGTTAAATTTAAATATTTACAAACACCTAATAATAGAAATAAATGAATTTTTACGTAAAACATTTATTAGTCGAAGACTGATGAAAAAAATGTAGTCTTAATAATTTGCGAAGTTAGAACTATTTTGTTCTTCACATTTTAGAGTTTTGATATATAAAACGATTTAAAAAACAACAACTTTAGGAGACCACATGTGAAAAATTTTTTTATTTTATTACTTATGTTTTTTCCGCAAGTTTTTGGATTATAACTTAGGTTTCCATTTTGTAGAAAAACATTGTTTTGAGGTGCATAACACAAACCATTACTCAAATTTTTCAAAAAAGTGAAGATGGAACAAAATAACTCTAACCTTGTGAATTACCCAGTAAGCACAGATCGTTTTTAAACATTTGAAAAACGTTAAAAACCGTTTTCATAGGTTTTTTAAACGTTTTAAATACGTTCTGTGCTTACTGGGTAAATCCGGTTAAGGTATGTTACTAAGGTGTGTTGCTTTGTAAGTTGAAGAAAAATATTTTTACTGTAGAAATAAAATTACTTAAATATTAAACAAAAACGGAAATGTTGTAAACTAAATGGTTTTGCAAAATTAAATTTTTTACTAATCAAAAATAAATGTCATATATTTCAATTCAAATAAGTTTAAAGTTAATCAAACTTATTTAAATAAATTGTTTTTTTAACATATTTATTCTTTTTAAAGTTTTCGTTTAATTTAGTTTGTTTTTGTCTTTTCTTTTTAAGATTACTTAAAAAAAAAAAACGTTTAACTTAGAAAAAAAAAAAAATTTAAAACGTCAGAGTTTAACAATTGTACAATTCAACTTGGAAAGTTTATAATTGTGAGTAGGTACACCATTCTGATGAAATCGTTTCCAATTTTTACATAAAACTTGGTTTCTATATTTTTCTTTCGAACACAAGTCATAACTTTTTTAGAGTTGTTTGATTTATAGAACTAGTCATGATTTGTAGCACAATTTACAAGTTTATCTCAACCTTTTGAAAGCACATAAAAGTGTCATGTTGTCAACGCAATATCCTAAACACGAGCAATCAAAACTTTTACATATTGTTAACGAGAGTAAGGCCTCGCGCAGCAACACCTTACTCTTGTTAAAAAAAAAAAGGGTTACTTCGTTAAAAAATAAGAAAAGGTTTTGGTTGAATGAAAATAATATAATAATAATATACTATTAAAAAAATATCAACATGATTCTCCTTCGTATGTGATAATAGCGAACAAAAAAATGCAAATCATTGTTCGAAGCTTTTGAAACTCTTCTGTTCAACGGCTCACAGTTAGCAAAAATCTGAGTTGACTGTTAAGTCAGTTCCTGAGAAAACCGCGATATACCTGTGAAAGCTTATGACCATTGGATTCCAAAAAATGTAAAAATTTAAATCATCTGCCTACGTCCAAGAAAGAAAATCAATTTTGAAAATTTCTTTTATTGCGCAAATATGTAAAATGACAGCATGCCCAAAATTTTGCATTTTGACAGTATTTATCAACAATAAAATTTTATATTTATTCAATATTTTATACTACTAAAAAGTATGAAAAATTCCGGGAAAAGACACTTTTTTCGGACGCAAAATCTATTAAAGAAGCATTTTTAAGGCTCTTGTAAAAAAATTGCAAAATGCCTAATTCGGAAAGAAATTATGATGAAAACCGAAAAGTTCTATGCCTTATTTGTCTCAAAAAAGCAAACAGACATCTCGCAACGTTTTTGGAGGAAAAAATTCAGCAGCCAACAAATCAATTTTAATGACACAAAAGTTCCTCAAGGCATTTGTGAAACATGCAGGACTTTTTTGAGAAAACGTTGTGAAGGTCATCAAGTTGAACTGCCACAGCTTTATCAGTTTGAAAGGATAAATGTTAAAATTCCCACGAAAGAAAATCCTTGAGAATGCTTAATTTGCTGTATCGACCGTTTAAAATTGACAGAAAAACACCCTCTCGAAACCACAAAAATAGAAGAAAAAATATCAGACAGAAGGTGCTCAAAATGTCTGACCCTGATTGGTAGGGGGCTACCACATCAATGCTCTACTGCAAAATTTGGAGAGAACATGAAATATATATTTATATATTTACATTTTTTAATCGTTGTTCAGCTTTAAATAACCCATAATGAAAATAATAATATAAACTTACAATGACATAAAACATAACAAACATAAATAAGGTATCTGAAAGAAGATCGCAAGGATCTTGTCGTCAGAACCTTAAAAAAGCATTTAATAAAAATAAATAAATAAATTAATAAACTTTTACAAAATTGCAAGGCAAACAATCTGTGTCTGAAGAAAGATCTAGAAGATCTTCTCATCAGATTTTTATACAAGAGTAAACCAAAATATAAATTAAAAAGTAAAAAGTATAAGAACAATAAATAAAAAATTAACTTCTATGAACATAAACATGTATAAAAACAATAATAAAAAAAAAGTAGACCAAAAAATATTTTTAACTTTTACTACTAATAATAACTCAATATATTATCTATTGAAAGAATAATGAAAAAAAAAAAAAAAAAAAAAAAGAATGAGGTTTTTCAGTTTTTTTAAAAAAAAGGCAAAAAGTTGTAGGTACTTAAAAATTAAAATTCGCGAAAACAATTTGATTCCAAAGATGTGGCGCTCAATAGGTGATACAAAATTGATTAAAGTTTGTTTGACAGAAAGGTTCATTTAAAAAGTTATTATTTTTCAAAATATATTTACTGACTGGTTTAAAAGAGAAAAGATCTTTGAAGACGGCTAGGGATAAGTTATTTATCCACATATATACAAAACATAAAATATTAAATACCTTTAACTCATAAATATTCAGAATTCTTATTTCAATAAAATAATGCTTCGAATGAGAGAAGCGATTTGCAAAATTGATTATACGGATTGCGCGTTTCTGACGGAGATAAAGACGTCTTTATCTCCGTTGAAA